GAGGTAGCTGTGTGAATCCGTGGGTTTGTAATAAACTGAAGTGGACAGTCGGGGGTAGTTGATAGAGAAGTTGATGTCTAGAAACGGAAGAGTAGTGGAAGATATGGTAACCGTATATTTGAGGGAAGGGTGGAAGTTGGTGAAATGGTGCAGGAAGAACTCAAGCTGATCGTTGGAGCATGTGGCGGCACCGACGCAGTCATCAATATATCATTTGTAGAGGTCAGGGACATAGCCAGTGTAGGAAGCGAAGAAGCGTTCTTCTACCCAGCCGAGGTCAGGGACATAGCCAGTGTAGGAAGCGAAGAAGCGTTCTTCTACCCAGCCGACAAAAATATTGGCATAGCATAATATACATAAAAATATTGGCATAACATTTTACAATAAAGTTCAGCGAAACTGTACCCATAGTACATGCGTTTTAATTTTTAATATTCAGAATCTAGGAGATAATGTTGCTGTATTTTTTTTTCAACATATTTCAAACCGAGAGAAAGGAGAACAGGAAGGGTACAGGAAGATGTTTTTTAGAAAGTGAAGTGTTTTAAAACAAACATCTTAGAATAAAATAAGATTAATAATGTAAGAAAGATTAAGTCTGTCCGTGTCTGTTTCATACAGAGAGGAGTTGGTATAATAGAGGGTTCTCCATGATAAATCATAGGTTGTAGGTGGCATATGTACTTGATGTATGCCATAAAATGATAAATGGATATAAAGCCAAGAGATTAAGACATCCACTGTAAAACACAACAGAACATCCCAGCTCACAATACCCCTGGCAGCCTCTCTGGAGCTGAGTCAGGATCTCTTCAAAGACACCAAGCATTCTGATCTAATTCAAATAATAATTTGTATCCCTCTATACTGTAGCTAATGTATTTGATTGTACTAATTTAGCCAGCAGCCATATCACACCGCAGCTCATTACTGTAAGCACAATGAAACTAAGCAGGTGTGAGCCTGGCCAGTACCTGGATGGGAGACCTCCTAGGAAAAACTAAGGCTGCTGCTGGAAGAGGTGTTAGTCGGGCCAGTAGGGGACGCTCACCCTACGGTCTGTGTGGGTCCTAATGCAGACACATGAGTGTAAAAAGACGCTGTCCTTTGGATGAGATGTAAAACCGAGGTCCTGACTCTCTGTGGTCATTAAACATCCCAGGGTGTTTCTTGAAAAGAGTAGGGGTGTAATCCTGACCAAAATTCCCATTGGCCCTTACCGATAAGAATAATTGCTTTCACTTATATAGCGCTTTTCTGGACACTCCACTCAAAGCGCTTTACAGGTAATGGGGACTCTCCTCCACCACCACCAGTGTGCAGCTCCACCTGGATGTGCAATGTGCAGCATCCACTGATCATAATCCCCATCTGTGAATTGGCTTCATGACTCTGTTCTCCTCCCCACTGATAGCTGGTGTGTGGGGAGTGTACTGGTGCACTATGGCTGCCGTCGCATCATCCAGGTGGGGCTGCACACTGGTGGTGGTGGAGGGGAGTCCCCACTACCTGTAAAGCGCTTTGAGTGGAGTGTCCAGAAAAGCGCTATATAAGTGGAAGGAATTGTTAATATACTAAGTCATAGTGTAGGCTGGAAAGTGACTTGTACAAGCTGTGGAACTCCCGGCGAAACCCATTTTCAGGGACCGGTACCTGGAAGACATTGCCGATGGTGGAAATCCATGAAGTGGGCTTGTCGTGGGCGGGTATGCGGTCCTCCTTCATTTTGAAGATTACATAACTGATTACTAGCCTTGATTGCTGTTTCAAAATTTGTCTTTAAAAAATTAAAACCTGCCATTAACAATTGTGTAATAGTATAAAAAGACGTAAAAATCAATCAATATCTAAGTGTGGTTAGATAATGGTTGTATTCATTTTACACTGAAACCTATGCAATGTTATGTAAGGATTAATAATAAAAAAAAGGATAAAATGACTTTTATTGTTTTCCCTTTTTTTGTTTTTAAAGGTCAACCCCCATCAAAGGAAGTCCCAGCTGGCTCGTACCCCTTCATGGTAGATTCCGATGATGGTCGTAAAGTGCCTGTGGTCCAGGCCTACGCCTTTGGGAAATATCTGGGATACCTGAAGGTATCCTTTGACGATAAGGGGAATGTCTTGAAGTCGTATGGGAACCCCATACTGCTGAACAGCAGCATACCAGAAGGTATTTTTTTTTATGTTTGCATATTATGAAATGATAAAATAGTGGGAAAGGAAGGCACAACGGGGTGGTGGGTTAGCTCTACTGCTTACATCACCTGTGTCCTGGATCAGTCTGGGACTGGGACGTGTTTCCACTCTCCTCTCACACAGGCTTCATAAAATGGTGCCTCTGTATTATGCCAGTGTGCTTTTGTCTGCCCCGCAGTGGACTGCACCCTGCTCCTGGGGGTAGCCCTGCCCTGTACCCTGTGCTGGACTGGCATCCTGTTTAGGGTGCAGCAGCACAGGGTTGGCGCTGGAGCCTATCTGGGCAAACAACGGGCACAAGGCAGAACTCACCGTAGATGGGACACTAGTCCATCACAGGGCACACATACAGTAGACACAAACACACTCACACCAGGGCCAGCTTTCCCAAAAGCCCACTAACCCACCAGCATGTATTTGGACCGCGGGAGGGAACTGGAGCACCTGGAGGAAACCCACGCAAACACAGGGAGAACATTCGAACTCCACACAGACAGCACCCCAGGAATTGAACACAGGGCCCCAGCTCTGCAAGGCAGCACTGCTAACATTTGCACCACCCCTTATATATACATTCTAAATGCAAAACGTACACTTGAAAGCAATGATTTAAAATATTTCGTTAAAGAAAATAACCTTCAGGTAGAAGACCCTTGAGGTTTTAAAGACTACAGCAGGTGACAGACTATCATTTATTTGAGTATTTAATTCTATAACATACTGTTTTTATGTGGCTGTAGTTGTGCTTTAATGTTTTTTGTTTTAGTGATGGAATCAAGTCTTGCTACCAAGTTGCATAGGATACGATTTATTAGAGAATGTCCAGTCTTTTTGATACACACAGTAGCACGTGACTGTTAATTTTTAATGTCCATTCTGACACATTGCAAAATTAAATATTGTGAAAAGAGTTGGTTACTGAAAACAACCAAATAATACTCAAGTCATATTATATACTGTAGATTCACGTTATACTTTATAGGTACATTTTTGACTGATTTTATACTTCCTGGTTTTGTCATCTACAGAAGTAATGAAATCCAAGGATTAAAACTATTTTTATTATAAAACAAGCACATCAAACAAGCAAAAAAAGAAAATATCTTACTTAGTTTCTTCAATTTTGTGCTGTAAAATACATATGTAACAGTTTACTGAGTCAATGCTCATAGGCTGAAGAGCAGGCTTTAAGAAAAAAGTAGGGCAACTTTTATATTAATTGCGCTTTCCCTGCATTATTTTCAGGTGACTTGGTGTGCTGTAAAAAATAAACAAGAAAAAAAATAAAGAAGAAACTCCAGTCTGTCAGACAGAGCTGCATTCCTGTTGTGCTCTGTTGCTAAAACAGTCATTTGTTTTTAACAGTCAAAGTCTCTGCCTGTTGGGAGGCGAAAGCTGTTGTGTAATTCTCCCTCTGCTCATGGCTCAGTAGCTACTGGCGCTGGAGGGGAAGGGACAAAGATTAATAATAATGTAATAATAGTGAAATGTACATGAATAATAATTTAAAACTGTGATGTAATGATAATGATTAATAATTATAGCAAAGTGGCAAAAAAATCCTAATATGTAGATATCAGAGAACCAATATTTCAGATTGCCTGCATTGTACCTGGCCTGTTCTGTAGCTTAAATGTAAGAAAAAAAAAACAATTTATTCTGAATGCAGTTATTAAAATGATTTTATATGTACTGCCTTACTTGATAATCTTATATTTTGTATCAGCTTTTTTCCTATAACCGAAAATGGTTAATTTCGCCATACTTGGAGTTCTTCGTTATTCTGTGTGGTTGACCTGGAAAAACATCTTTCAGGACAACAGAGCTGTATTTTTGTGTTTCAGATTTTAAGGGCTGGGCGTTGCTTTTTACCTTACAGCCTTCACTAGGTCTGACAGTTGTTTAATTGTAACTTGTAATTCTACCATTACATTTCAGTGCAGTCTCAATATTTTATTAATATTACGATTGTGTATTGTTTTTTTTGTTTCAGATACTAATGTGCGCGCAGAGGTTGATAGATGGAAAAAGGCACTCGCTAATTACTCCTCCCAAATTATCGGAGAGACCCTGGTTTATCTTAATGGTACCTTTGAAGAGTGCCGCTTTCGGGAATGTAACCTCGGAAATTTCATTTGCGATGCAATGGTGAGGACGTTCCTGGTTTTCAGTTCAAGGCTTCGACCTAAAACAATTCTCATAGAATCTTTGGTATTTACCACAGTTGTGACTTACATATATGCAGGGTAGAGCCACATGTTTTTCTGAACTTGTTTGTGTATTTCTTCTCAATGCTTTGACAAAGTTAAATCTTAAAGGTCGGTGGAAACAACAGGAAAACTACTGGTGCTACTGGGTAAATTATATGATACAAGCATGAATTCTTCGAATAGTAGTAACACAGTTATCCTTGATTGTTGTTTCTCTTAAAACCTTGTTGTGTATATTTCTGTACATTTCTACCATCCACATCTCAAATTGACTGAATTTGCTTTCCCCCTGTAAAGGCACAGTCACATGAAAAGTATTGTGTCATCAGTCACCTGTTGGGTCATTTGAATTTATTCCTGAAATAAAATGGGAGTAGCTCTTCTCCAGAGCACGCATTCAGGTTTTTGCATTCTAGATTACAAAGGAATTTCACATGCTTTCTAGAGTCTTGGACCTGAGCTTTAGATGGGTTTTTGTTTGTTTTTAAGGACACATTTAAAATAGTAGAATAAAAACTTAAATATATTTGACTTAGATTTAATTGTCTATTCCTGGAGCTTAACACGCTACTGACTTTTAATAAACCCAAAGTATTTTTAAAGGACTCAAAGCCTCACAACTTTCTTGTGCTTTGAAAAGCTAAGAAGTTCAGCTAATGCTTTTTTTCAGCTCTGTTTTGCAGAAATCTAAGTTCAGTTTTAAATAATGGGAACAAAGAGGGCTGAACTCTCATTTAATGTTTTTAACATTGTGGTCTAATGTTTACGTCTTCTTTCCATATAGAACGGTGAATTAAAATACCTCTCAGAGATTGAAAATCTTAACTTCAGAACTGAAACACCGCTCCATTGTTTTATGATTGTCAACTGTTGTCATTGCTTTTCATTATCCTCCCATTTTTATTAATTTTGTTGGAATCTAAGATCAGGGAAATACATTGTTTTTTCAACTGTTCAACCTAAGAAACTTTAGACTAACTTTTGTCCACTGTCCCACATGAATGGCTGTTGACAAAAATAAAGTATATTTTCTCACCATTCCCTGACTGTAACTATTACATTTTATATTAACATCTTACCCACATTGTACAAAACCTTTGACACTCTTCTTCAGAGAGATTTAGTGGAAATTTGTTTTGTGTATGCCATTGGTTAAAACTCAAGTTACAGTAAACTTAAAGTTAAGTAACATAAGTTAAAACCTATCCTTTCGTTGTTTTGTTGTGTGTTATCATTTTTGTAGGTTAATCATAATATCAGATATCCGAGCGAGCTACAATGGAACCATGTCAGTGCCTGCATTCTGAATGGAGGCGGAATACGGTCGCCTATCGATGAGCGCACCAGAAATGGTACGTACAGTTTCCAAAAAGTAAAAGAAACCGATAGATATTTCATTTTCATTTTCATTTTTAATTTAAACTTCCTTGAAAGACATGAAGATGGTCATCTTTGTGAAAAATGACAATTCTAGGTTCCATCACCATGGAGGATCTTATATCTGTCCTGCCATTTGGAAGTACTTTCGACTTGGTGGAACTGAAAGGATCGACACTGAGAAAAGCATTTGAACATGCAGTCAGGAGATATGGAGGAAACACCGGAGAATTTCTGCAAGTATCTGGTAAGAGGTTTACTTTGATAACATTTCAGTTTAGGTGGAGTCATGTTGAAAAAGTCCTGTGTCAATGTGTTAAGTACTGAATGCCACCTAAAACAGAAAAACCACAACCTGGGTGACACCAAAAGTGTCTGCAGCCCTGATTCATTGCATTTTGCCGTACTGAAATCATGATCATTTCCTGCTGGTGATGAGGGTTTCTCTGCTATACATGACAGTGCACTAGACTGTGATGTTAACATAAGAAGAGCTATTCATTTACGCCTCATAATCACATTCATGTTCCCCATTAGGATGGCTTAGCAGAGTCACAACCGTTTGCAAAGTTCTTTCAGCACCATGTCATGTCATGCACTTCCTAATTGTCAGCATGTTCCCAGCTCACCTCTGTCACACACACATTAAAATGGCAGCTGCTAAGAACATACAGTACGCTATTGCTAAGCATAGGACTGTACACAGCCTTTGCTTTATAGGGCATGATAATGCACGGCTTATATGCAGCTTACAGAATAACCCGTGGCAGTTCCATTGTTGGAACTTGCAGTGTTTTGCTCTTGAATTGTTATATGATTACAATGATAGTAATACAATTGTATTTGTATGTGCTGTGTAAAAACTAAAAACACTGTACAATACCACCCATGTAAATCACAGAAGGACAACAACCAGGAACACTAAGTATTAAATTAAAAAAAAAATCTGTCTTTGCACAAGTATGATTCAAGCATCTCTGCAGTTTCCAGTGGATTTGAGTAATGAGTTTCACATGGGTGAAGCTTCTTCATTGGAGCCTTGTAATCTGTTGAGATAGAAGGCCTGAATGAGCAGGTCTCAGATGCTGAGTGTCCAACTATAAGTAACTTTTAAATAACCTGGCCCTTCCAGTGCATTATTCATGAGAACGGAAATCTTAAAGTCCACTTTAAATTTATAATGCTTTTACCGTACTTTATTGACTGTAGTAAACTAAAAAAAAGCGAGTCATTATGTAGCGCTTAAAGGGTCCAATATGCATAGAAACAAACAACATCCAACTACTTACAGCAGGTTTTAGGTAGTGTGCATAGGCTCATATCTTATGGCTGAAGGCTCAAGGTTTTGTCATTTTACCTACAAAATAACATTTAATCTTTATATGTTATTATGTTCCAGGGATACACATTGAATTTGATCTTTCAAGACAATCCTTGGATCGTGTGACTGATATACAGATTCTTTGCACGAGCTGCCGGGTGCCAAAATACGAGCCGCTTGATTCAGACAAGTCTTACAAGCTTGTTATCCCGTCCTACTTAGTTGAAGGGGGAGATGGTTTTACAATGATAAGGGATGAAAAGCTTAAGCACGACAGTGGTAAGTTTGTCAATGTCTTTCTTTTTCCCATAGAAGTGTTTTATTTCTTTTTTTATTGCTGTTGAAACTTGAAACATATATCAATGACATGTTTTGGTAAATAGGATTAAGGCTTTTTCATTTAAATGTCTTTTGGTCATCGCCGTGGTTTCCCGGCTGCAGAGCGCCGGTCTCAGATCTGACTGTGTGTGTGGAGTCTGCATGCTCTCCCTGTGTTTGCATAGGTCTTGCCTGCGTAGTTCAGTTTCCTCCCACAGTCGAAAGACATGCTGGCCAGGTTAACTGGTGTCTCTGAATTGCCAGAGAATCTGTACGTCCGTGCACTCTGTTGCCCTCTTTGAGTTCTGTGCGTGTCAGGTTAGGCTCCTTCTCACTGAGACCCTCTAGGGATAAAATGATAATTAAACAGGTAGGTAGGTCCCTTTTCAGGCCTTAAAGTGCCACAATTTTTCTTAACCATCCGACACTGGAGGTGGAGGTGATGTGGACAGTATCACGCTCTGGCCAGCCTCTTACCTCCAGAAGGCTTAACCTCCAGTACTCACTTGGAAAGCAGGCTGAGTGGACCTGGGAGACATCTGGAAGGAATTAGAGCAAGCTAAATCACTTGCCCCTACCTGGGATTTAACCCAGGCCCTTCAGATCAGGAGCTAGACGCCCTTGCTGTTTGAACTACCACGGCTCCAGTGATAATAATGGATGGATCAATGTCTTTTTAGTTGATATTCTGTCATTTGTAAGCTAAAGGTAAGATAAAATAGCAAGATAACTGAGAAAAAATAGGCCCCCAGATACAGTTTATAGGTTCAAAACATGCTGTTTTAGATATAAGAGCTTTTTTATATGTTTATTTCTGTAAACAATCAAGCAATCAAAATGCTGAAGAAAACACACCCTCCCTCATGTCCCCACGCACAAAGCCATACCACAACAAAAAAAAAGTCAACTGAATCAATAAGCCGCCGGCTGCAGCAATGATAAAGATGGAAAAAAATAAAAACGAAATCATTGATTAAACTATCACAACTGCAGCCATGACTTAATTTTCTGTATCTCGGCACCATGGATTTGGGTTATGGGAAGTGGCCACAACCAGAAAAGCCCATTGACAGCAGAGGCCAGCCAGCGCAGTGCTCTCTTTTCTCCACTCATCATCCAATAAAAATGACGATGGTGAACAGGGGACTTCTTTCTCCGGACAAAGTGGAAGACATTTTCTTCCAAAACCAAAACATGTGGACCTCCCAACATTGAAACAGCTTTAAATAATGTGACCAATATTTCAGTGACACGCTCCCCTACATCACATCTACATGGTGTGTGGAGAGTGGTTGCTGACTTGCTGCCCAGTGAGATGTCAGACTCCCTACCTTTAGCATCACCTCTCATTGCTTTGCAAATGTTCTGGCGTATAAGGTTATTTTATCCCACCGAAGACCTGTGAAAATGATATAGAGAGGCGGTGGTGTTGTTTTGTACATCTTTTACTCTGGCCCACACCATAAAAATCCTCAGTAGGTTATGAGAAGGAAACGGTGGCTGTGTTGAGCGCTTGCCAAAACAATTGAAATGAATTAAAAGATTGAGCAAAAAAAAAAATGGGGTCAACAGATGTCAAATTCTTGTGTCTCCCTTCCTCTCCTCTGTGTAGAATTGGTTTCTTGATGCCCACAGCTCTTTTCTGACAGTGCTGTCATTTTCTAAGCTGGGAGATTGAATGTAGTGAGTACACTATCCCTCTATATTCGTAAGCTTGTTTCATCGGTATTAGAATTTTTCTGAGCAGCTGCTCAGAGTTACATACAGTAGAGTTATGTAAAATGAGAACTGCTGTGAGTTTGAGAGGGTCATTGGTGACAAGACCACCTTATTTAATATCAAAAGCTTATTGATGATCAAATCTTAGTTGCAGGGCCCTCTTCCCCTATTTTCAATAGATTTTCTGTCTTGAGTTTCACTATTTCATCTTACACTGAGTTTTTCAAAATACACATCCCTTGTCTGATTCAGAGTTCAACTGTATTTCAGTAAATTCATATGGACTAATCCCTGGTGAGCTGCATTGTCCTCATCAGATGAAAACTGCAGCTGTAAAATCACCTTACTAATTAGATTACACTGACTTCCCAGTTAAAAGCGTCATAATGTTATGGAAATTGTGTTTCAACGAAGATTTTTTAAAAGTGAAAACTCTCAGCAGAGCACAGGGTGGATTCTACAATGCTCATATTGCTGCTCTGAAGCTACATACTGCATGTGGTGGATTAGGACAGGGGTCAGCAGCCTACAGCAGGTGTGCCATCGCTCACACACGAAGGGATTTTTAATGGCCAATGACAATGAAAGTGGTACATGTAAGAAAAGTCTAAAAAGCTACAAAGAAATGAAGCTGAAAAAACAATTAAAACTATGCTTGACTGTTCTATAATTTTCTACAATTTGCTATCCAATGAAAGTTCTTTGGTGTAGAAAAAAAACAAATCACTTTTAGCTCTGTGGCTAAGGATCTCCGCCTGTTGCTGGAAGGTTTCCGGTTTGTATCCCACGGCTGGCAGAGGAATCCTACTCTGTTGGGCCCCTGAGCAAGGCCCTTAACCCCAGCTGATCCAGGGGCGCCGTATACTGTAAATGGCTGACCCTGCACTCTGACCCCCAGCTTCTCTCCCTGTCTGTGTGTCTCATGGAGAGCAAGTTGGGGTATGCGAAAAGACAAATTCCTAATACAAGAAATTGTATATGGCCAATTAAGTAATCTAATCTATGTTATTTTTAGTGAAGCTGGCCTATTGTTTTCACAGGAAAGCTTGCAATCCATGCCACTGATGTAGAGTCAAACATTTTGGACAAAATGGCAGTTGCTAAGAAAGCAAAGTTACTGTAGATCTTCACTTATTTTAGCCCTTTTAGAGAGATGAATACCAGTTTGTTCAACATAAAGACCATGCTGTTTGTGCTCTGAGTGCATGGGAATAAATATTGTACCACGATAAGCAATTCTTGCAAGACACTGTGACTCGGAATTTGAGATAGAATGCAAAGTGTGTGTCCTAAAACCCATGCTTGGCACAACTACAAGGGAAGACACAGCTACTTGTATTAATCATTTTGAGAAAAGGAATGGACATCAAGAAAATATTTCTGTGACGACTGACGGCAACCCTGCTGTGTTTGGGAAAGCAGAAGGAATTCATAAAGCAGATTCTTCATTCATTCATTGTGGATCACATTGGCCACCCCAGAGTAAATTTGTATTTTGCTATTCATCAGGGGAACCTTTGTGCCAGGATTTTGAATTCAGAGTTTAACTGTGTTGACAGCAGTAGTGAAAATAGTGAATGACCAGCAGCGCCTCGGAGCTCCTAGCCTCGTCATTCTGTTTTTGCTCCTTGTTCCTGTTCCAGATCACATTCCGGATCCCTTTCCGGATTTTAACCTTGTCCCGACTTTGAATTTTGGACTGCGCCCAGATTTCCCCCTTGGACTGTTCTGGACTTGTTTGCCTGCACTCCCCTCTTGCACCCGGTCACCGTCGGCACCACCCCCTGTTCGCCATCCCTTCCTTTCCTAACTGTGTATTCCCTGTAGCCCTTTTCCAGTCACTTCCGGATTATATCCTCTGCAGAGGGTCCTAAACTACGCCCTACATGGGAGTCAGGACCGGCTCCCATAATACTATGAGCCTGAGACTGGAGATCTCAGCAGGGGAAAGCATGGCCAAGGAGCACACTAAATGATATGACGGGCATATTCATTTATGAACTTCCGAGATTATTATATTTTAGTATTAAGGTTTACTAATCAAAATGGACGGACAGATATTATTGGCATTAAAAAGTATTCATGGCAGATGCATCCACCAAGTGCAGGAGCGAAGTCTTGTGGGACTCCCCTTTTGAAAGGTTACTGATCCCAGGCTTAGGATTTTCTTTAAAGGTGGTACAAAGCTGGCCAGGCACCACAGGGTTTAGTGGAGTTTGAAATTTCCCCAGCTTACTACACATCAGCAATGTTCACTGGGCAGACATCTGTGTTGTGGATTTGCCAAGAGGCATGTGGCAGCCAGCACTGTTCATCTCCACTTTCAGACTCATCCGCCCATTATCAGAAAGCCATTTGTCCCAGAAGCATTCAGCACAAAGCAGGACTAAGAGCACATGACTGCTCACACGCCGAATGAGACACCAGTCCACCACAGAGCCACCGAGAGGGGAAACTTTGAACAGCCAATCAAGCCTGACCAGTGTCTCCTTGTGGGGGTGGAAGGAAACACCCAGGTAAACTCCACACGAATGCAAGGGAAATGGGCAAACTCCACTCCAGCATTCCAGCATCCCTTTTCAGAATCGAAGCCAGGGCTGAAGAGCTACGAGACGGTAGTGCTAACCATCACAGCACCACAATTTCTACATTAAATGTCAAAAGAAACACATATCTAATTCTTACAGGCCGGGGCCTCTCAATCTGACACCAGGTTTTACTATCAGGGTCAGTGAGTCCAATTTGGAGCAAAACATTGAATGGAATGAGAAAATCAGGTCCGGATACCAGCAGGCCTTCCAAGTAAATGGTAAAGGTGTATAATTACACACTGCCTATTCTAAGGAAATGCCAACCAGTAATTCAGCTGTTTTTGTTCCCAGCAAGATAGCAGAGTAATGATGATTTTTTTTTTTAAATAGTTCAAATTTTTAAAAGAAAACCAAATATTTACAAGTATTAACAGAAACACATGTATTATTTACAATGACTGTGGGTACTTGTGTCCAGCCTTTTACAGAACAAAGAAACGGATCTCAACTCTGCAAATGAGTAACGCATACCTTTTTACAGGAACTCTTTTCTTATTTAAGTAAAGAGCCTGTTCAGTATGACGTTACTCTGTAAATAGATGGAAACCAAACCTTTCTACCTATACCATAATCAAAATACAAAAAGAGATTTATGGTGCATGATGGACCCTAAAAAAAGACAAATAAATATTCCCACAGCTATAAGACAATATAGCCTTTCCTATATCTAAAATTAGTCTCTTCGGTGCTCACATTACTGCGAGTTTTCTGTACTTTGTCCTGCAAATTAGGAAGTCCCCCCACAGCGCCGTTTCTGTGGGTGGAAGATTGGAGAGAGCTCTTTCTTTCACATTTCTTTGAAAGAGTGCCTGTGCTCTTAATTACACTGTATTGAGGGCCTGCCTTTTTACTCTTCTGGTTGACTTTCTGGTGTGTGGTTCTGGTTGTTTTTTTAAGCCGGCAACAGTGGATGGGCCTCTGGCCAGTGTGACTGCCTCAAGATAAGATAAGCAACAGCCCTGCCTCCAACACTCCAATGAAGCTCATGTTCTTGCTGTAAAGATAAGAAATACTGAGAGGTGTAGTTGAACTCTTGGTACCCTATCCGAACACAACAATATCTAACGTAATATA